AAAAAAAAAAATCTTACAAGTTACATACCTTAACCTGAGACTTGATCTTTGATCCTTGCAAGATTTGTCCCACTTCCTCTTCACTCAGTTCAGTCTCCTGGTGCTTCGCAAATACGTCTACAATAACCAGAGAGGCTCTAGGTTAACTCTAGTTGGGCCTAGGTTTTCAGTTTGCTTCTTAAGGAAATCAATCTTTTCAGGCTTGAACACTTAAGAGTTTGCAAAACAATAAATTGCAAGCATGTATAAATCATTTCAGGTCAGAATTCAAAGAGTCGGACTGATGAATCATGGGAATGTCTTGCCTTCCTCCTCCTGCGCTCCCATGTTTTCCTCTCCTTCCGCAGGCAGGTTGGTCTCCAGACAGAATGCAGCTTCATTCTTCTTATCTGTAAATTCTCCCTCCGTCTCAACCTTTTCATTCTCTTCTATATCTCCCTTTGTCTTTTCAGGGTGCTCTTTATTTTGTGAATTATCAGGTGTTCCACCCTCCTCTTCTTCTAAATCCTCCTCAGCATCATTACCTTCCTCCTCCTCCTCCTCCTCTTCTTCTTCACTTTCTCCTAATTAAAAAAAAAGTTAATTATAGGCCATTAGACCTTTTCAGATAAAGCACCGCAACTAATATCGAAAAGTGTAAAGTATGAGACTGTAAAAGATCTTACCTTCAACTTCCTCTCCGTCATCCTCACCGTCACTTTCTTCATCTTCACTGTTGTCATCAGCACCTTGGATCATGGTGGTCAGCAGTTTCTGATAAGCAGACAGCTGCTCTTCATCACTGTCTTCCTTACTGTCATGTTCAGGGTGCTGTGGACTGTCAGGCTGTTCAGGTGCAGAAACACTTTTAATGTGATGGTTTGAAACAAAACATGAACAATAAAACTTCAACCTGCGTGGCAAACTATTAAGATTAAACCAGGGGCAGCTTCCCTGATCAGATCTACCCAAACACATTTTTCCACACTACTTGTCCTATATGCAATATTAATCGTAGTGTACATGCATTCAGCTGCCAAATGCTTCTCATTCACCTGGTTTATTGACTGAGTTCAGAAAGAGGTTTCTGGACCTTCAGGATCAATCCGTAATGTCATGGCAAAAGAAAGAATATTAGTCTAGAATTACTTACCAAGCGCAAAATCTGAGTCTTCTCCGGTCTATCAACAACACTAAAAAAACGAAACCATTAAAAGTGTAAGTAACGTTCCTTGCTACTTGAAGCTCCCAATGTAACTTATACTGTCTAAAAACACATCGCTATACTTACTTATCGTGAAAAGGGTGCTGTTCTCCAAATTCTTTTAGATGTTTCTTCTGTTTCTTAGTTAAATTGGTAATCTCTTGATTTCCTCGCCTTCTTTTGCCCATGTTTCTGTTTAACACGTGTGTCGTGTAAACTAGCGTATGTGTTTTCTTCTCTTCATGGATAGTTAGAGTGCCGTCACACTCTAGCGCCACCTGTCGACCTGGAATAATGGTAGTAGCGCAACAAAGGCCAGGCAAGGCAAGGCAAGTTTATTTGTATAGCACATTTCATACA